GGGTTCTGTAGGAGGCAGTTTGGAAAAATTCCCGGCAAATTTTGCCAAAGCAAAAATTTTCTAATACCGGTTGGAAAACTCAGAAAATCGCCCCAAAAAGGTCCCTAAATGATACCCGCAATATCCTCCAGTGAATCAAGCATCATTTGGGCTTCAATGTCGCTTACTCGTTGCCTTTCTGCCTCCTCTCGGTTCATCAGGAGGCGCTTTGGAAGAAGCACCTGCAAATGTTACCAAAGCAGAAAATTCCAGCTAATGCTTTGAAAACTTGTCAAAATCGTCACAAAATTTCCCCAAATGAAAATCTCAATTTTTTGTGGCAAATGAACCCGACGTTTCTGTACAAAATAAGCCCAAAGTCACCTCTCTAGATTCCCTGGGTTCTGTAGGAGGCAGTTTGGAAAAATTCCCGGCAAATTTTGCCAAAACGATAATTTTCTAATAGCGGTTGGAAAACTCAGAAAATCGCCCCAAAAAGGTCCCTAAATGATACCCGCAAAATCCTCCGGTAAATCAAGCATCCTTTTGGCTTCAATTTGACTTACTCGTTGCCTTTCTGCCTCCTCTCGTTTGTTCAGGAGGCGCTTTGGAAGAAGCACCTGCAAATGTTACCAAAGCAGAAAATTTCAGCTAATGCTTTGAAAACTTGTCAAAATCGTCACAAAATTTCCCCAAAGGAAAATCTCAATTTTTTGTGGCAAATGAAGCCGACGTTTCTGTACAAAATAAGCCCAAAATCACCTATCTAGATTCTCTGGGTTCTGTAGGAGGCAGTTTGGAAAAATTCCCGGCAAATTTTGCCAAAACGATAATGTTCTGATACCGGTTGGAAAACTCAGAAAAGCGCCCCAAAAAGGTCCCTAAATGATACCCGCAAAATCCTCCGGTAAATCAAGCATCGTTTTGGCTTCAATTTGACGTACTCGTTGCCTTTCTGCCTCCTCTTGGTTCTACAGGAGGCGCTTTGGAAGAGGCACCTGCAAATGTTGCCAAAGCAGAAAATTCCATCTAAGGCTTTGAAAATCTGTCAAAATCGCCACAAAATTTCCTCAAAGAAAAATCTAAATTTTTTGTGGCAAATGAACCCGACGTTTCTGTACAAAATAAGCCCAAAGTCACCTCTCTAGATTCCCTGGGTTCTGTAGGAGGCAGTTTGGAAAAATTCCCGGCAAATTTTGCCAAAACGATAATTTTCTGATACCGCTTGGAAAACTCAGAACATCGCCCAAAAACGTCCCTAAATGATACCCGCAAAATACTGCGATAAAACAAGCATCGTTTTGGCTTCAATCTGACTTAAACGTTGCCTTTCTGCCTCCTCTCGGTTCTTTAGGAGGCGCTTTAGAAGAGGCACCTGCAAATGTTGCCAAAGCAGAAAATTCCATCTAAGGCTTTGAAAACCTGTCAAAATCGCCACAAATTTCTCCAAAGGAAAATCTCAATTTTTTGTGGCAAATGAAGCCGACATTTCTGTACACAATAAGCCCAAAATCACCTCTCTAGATTCCCTGGGTTCTGTAGGAGGCAGTTTGGAAAAATTCCCGGCAAATTTTGCCAAAACGATAATTTTCTGATAACGGTTGGAAAACTCAGAAAAGCGCCTCAAAAAGGTCCCTAAATGATACCGGCAAAATCCTCTGGTGAATCAAGCATCGTTTTGGCTTCAATCTGACTTAAACGTTGCCTTTCTGCCTCCTCTCGGTTCTTCAGGAGGCGCTTTGGAAGAGGCACCTGCAAATGTTGCCAAAGCAGAAAATTCCATCTAAGGCTTCGAAAATCTGTCAAAATCGCCACAAAATTTCCTCAAACTAAAACGATCTAAATCTTGCTCTCATTGCTAGCGATTTTCTCTATGACCGTTGAAAGTTTCATTTTTCAGCCATCATCAGACAGTTTTCAAAAATTTTTAAAACCCGGTCCGATTTTTTGCAGGTTAGAGTTCAGCAATTATTTTCTCCTCATCGCCGCAACGCCAGAACGGTAGTTCTTCTTGTATGTGGTAGAGCAAGGCTCCCTCTATAAGCGGGCAAAATTTCGATTTCTGGTCATCATCAGGGAATTTTCGGTATGGGCTTTAATTTATCCAGAAACCACCGAAGCTGGCGAGTTGCCATCAGCTGCTTCTTCTAGGCCCGCACCTGCGACAGATGGGGGACGTTTCGATTTTTTCGATTTTCCGTCATCATCAGGCAATTTTCCATGATTTGTCAAAATGCGCAATATTTTTGCGCAGGTCCCAGTTGGACATTTTTGTCTTCAGAAAACTGCTAAGCTAAAGAGGCATTTTTTATCTGAAAACGTGGGCGCAAAGTGTGCTCTGCGCGTGGACGACGTTTCGATTTTCCACCATCTTCCGGGAATTTTCGGGAGTTATTTTTGGAGATTTTTGCGTATGCTTTGTGCTCGTCAACTTAGCAAACGACTTTCGGTCGAAATTTGTAGGGCATCGGATGCTTAATGCGTGGCAAACGTTTCGATTTTTATACAAACTTCTTTTTGGGTACTCAAAAATTTTCGTCTTTAAAAAAGACAGAATTTCCTCACGTTTTCTATTACAAATTGATAAATAGTGCTCCTATTTAGCAATAAGAACGAATTACTTATCAAAAAGTAATCAAGAATTCCCACGAACAAAACAAAATCAAAATAAACCTGTTACGAACMWTTTGCACAKWCGAWTTTTAATATATTGTATTATCCTASKAYTKTTASATCAATTTATTAACATACTCTTTTGTAGGTTCATTTRGGTTCTTTTGATAACGAWAATTTTTMAAATTAGGACTTRKCTTMACWAACTGACTTTTTGAWAWAYAATTMGWWSTAA